TTATTACAAAACAATTTTTAAAGGATTTATTGTTCACAGAAAATTGCAGACATAAAGAGAAAATATTTATCAGAATTAGATTTAAAAGTTTCGGTTCAAACACATTGAGATATACAGAGAGAACACATAATTCAATAATTCAATGTTTAACTGTTTATTAGGGGAGTTCATATTAAATAGTTTTGATATAATATCAAATAAAGATTTTATAGGATTATAAATAATTTTTACATATATGATGTATTAAACTAATTTTTGTATTTTACAATTTACAATTTTATAAAGATAAATTAGTAATGTTTTTAGAGTGTAATAAAAATACAACAATAATACTAATAAATTTATAAGTAAATTTTAATTATTATTTTATTAATTAATTGATTTATTATAAATTACCTTTGATTACATATTTTTAGACAATATATAGATGACAATCATTAACCTAAAAATTATGACATCGCTACTCATTTGTAATGTTATTAACATTTTTACCCACAATACATAGCAATATCAAATATTAAAATATTGATCATAATCTACTTGATTAATGTTTGATAAATATTTTCCACATTTATTAGGTCTTATTCAAAACGTATTATTTTAATTGCACATTTTAAAAATTCCCATTTAGAAAATCAAATGTTATCATGGAAAATTTTATTCATTTTGTTTCAAACATTCATGTTATCAATTTTATTTTATTTTTCAATGAACTCTCAAATAAAGTACAAATTAATCTCAATTTTTCAATTTGTCTCAAGAGAACAGTTAACTTAAAATACAAATAAAATGTTTGTACAAAACTCTAATACATTGATATATTAAAATACTTTTGCAGACAAATTAACAAAATTCATTAAATTAACTCTAATTTTATAAATTTGTCTCATATTTCGTGATTTTATCCGTTAGTAATTATCTTTTTTATCAACATTAAATTACAAAATAATGAGAGTATTGTGGAAAAAATACAAATCACCCATTAGATACATAATTTAATATAAAATAATATTCTCAAAATTAATATATTAAATGTAGAATTATTATGGTATTTGTATTAAAATAAATAGCTAATTATTTTCTAATAAATACTTATTACTTTTAATAATAAGTAGAATATTTTTAAAATAAAATAAATATTATTGAAAAAGACCGTATAATATATTATGTCATATGGTGTATAAAAGGGTGGGCCTTAAAATGATGTCCACACGTGTATGTAAAAATAAAGTCAAAATAAGCAAATTTTCTAATACAATATTTAGGATAAGAATCTATTGATTTATATATTAGTAAAATATTAGATAATATTTATTAAGACTTAATATAAGAAATATTCGTGTAATTTATTATAACTTTAATACAATATTGATAGATATCTGGTATTAATATATCATAATTTAGAAAATATTTTTTGCTGTTATTTGGATGTATGTCACAAACCTATTGATAAGGGGTCAGTGATGTGCAATGGATAGGGCGCGGCACCCCATGCATGCATTTTATGTATATTTATTTAGTCATCTAATTGTTGAATAAAATAACAGTACTTATAATATTGTTTATAATAATATTGCAATGTCTAACATAATGCCAAGTATAAAATATTTAATACACATTAATTTATTTTCATTTAGATCGCTTTAAACTAATTAAACAATAATATTTAAAATTATTTGGATAATAGAGTTTATATATTAAACATTTATTTAATTCATAACAATTATTAAATATATTCCCATTGAATATAACCATTCATTATATCTCATAAGCATTATATTAAATTATATTACTGTAAAAATATGATATTATTAATATTTATAACTATTAATAAATAATTTCTATTTTATTCTTTAAATATAACAATAAATTTATTTTATCAAAAATAAAGTTTGTTCACTTTTCAATCTCATTCATATTTTATCTCTCAATTTCAGAAACTTTTTATTTTGTCAATTCATGCCTCAAAGAGAGAGAGAGAGAGTAAGAGAGAGAGAGAGAGAGAGAGAGAGAGAGACTTATATAACTAAATAAAAATTTTGTGTTCAAAAACTCTTTTTAAAAATTCTTTATAAAAGAATTTTTTTATTTCCTTATTTGATAGCAATAGCAATGAAACCAATTTATAAATGACTTTTCGTTTACAACAATATATATATAAATAAATAAAATAACAAAACAATAATTATATGGATTGCGTTTAAAAATTGGTAACATTTGTTAAACTGAAAAATCAGCGATAATTCTAATGGATTACAAGACCTAAGGCCTAATGGTTTGTTCACTAAATTAGCTGAACTGATCAAATGATTGGACAGTTAGCCATATGTTGTTACTGGGAGTGAGGGCTTACAGTGGACTATATGTTAGGAAGTGCCGTATGAAGCAGTGATACAGTGATGGCTCACGTATAAGAATAACAATGACGTGAATTGAATGCTGTATTCAATTGACAAAGAAATATATTACAGAATTTGAGCACAAATTTGCATTGAATTTGTTCGCAATTAATATCATTAGANATATAACAAAATGTTTGTAATTTATTTTTGCATTCATTAAGTTATTCTGTACAGAATATATAGATAATATTTATTATAAATACTAATATTTTAATCCAATTATAAGTGCAAATATTTGCACGTTTTTAATAACAAATAAATAAACAAATGTTTGTATAAATTATTGTATTATTGTGACCATATTACCATTATTATTAATTATATAATACAATGAAACAATGAAATAAAAGTTTGCTCAAATAATTAAATTCTGTATCTACAAATCCAGTATAAATGAACCATTATAATATAATGCATGCTAATCCTGAATAGATTTTATTGACTAGTTAGATCATTTTTACTAATCTGGTCACTAATTTGCATAATTATAATTCAATAAAATAGTAACCCTGCACATCAGATATATAGAAAATATATCAAATACAATATTAGAAAATAGCCAGTATAATATGGACGGTATAATAATACAGAGCGATTAGACCAAGATTTACCACTGGCGCGGCTTAAATGCAGTGCCTTTGCAGTAAACATACACTGAAATAGTAACCCCCGTTATAGGTATCGTATTATTAGTAGACGTTGCCATTAACTAGTACAGGAAAAAGACTTTTTTGTGGACACCTGCAGTCAACGCAAACTATGAGACAGTCAGTCGGCGCTATGGACACCAAAGTGTTGTGTGAATCCTTTGATATTTAATGCCGCACTCATTCATTTACACATAAACTCTACTCACAATATGTATCGATAGCGCCGACTGACTGTCTCATAGTTTGCTTTGACTGCAGGTGTCCACAAAAAAAAGTCTTTTTCCTGTACTAGTTAATGGCAACGTTTACTAATAAAACGATACCTATAACGGGGGTCACTATTTCAGTGTATGTTTACTGCAGTACTGCACTCCACCCCCATTCCCCCTGGTAACTCTTCACGTGATCCCTCTGTACACTAGACTATTATAATATTAATAATTACTAATACTGTACATAATAGTCATTTGCATTTAATTCATAAATAATGGGTTTACTATAAAATGTGACAAAAATATTACAATTATTGTGAACTCTGACAACGAAATGAACTTTTATTACAAAGTGTTGTATTTGTGAGCATTGATTGAGTGATGCATTCATTCATTGCAGTCAACACTCACCACATAATAGCCATTCATTTGAGTGATTATTATATTCAATGAATTGATTGTCAATTGATTTGATTTAATTGTGACACCAAAATGATCTGGGTATGGGAATGGGACGGTGCACTAGCCATTACCCTGTATGTAGCGGTTCCTACATTGATAATTGCTTTTTTGTTGTGGTATTACATCCGTGAGTCTTATTTCATGTCTTCATGTATTGAATTGCTTTTCAATCTTCATATCATTTCACAATTGATTTGATTTTGATTTTCAGACAAATTATTGGCTTTTATAAGGAGAGACAAAAGCAAACTCAAGACACACACAGACAAAGACATTGAAAATGTGATTGAAGACATTTTCGACCAAATTGGTGACAATAGCATTGATATATCACTCAATGGATCCCACAGTGATGTCCACCACATGAGCCATGACTCGAGTAATATTGATATGAATTGATATAAAATGTAAAACAATTTCATTAAAAACCAAATACAGAGTCAAAGGTCAAGAAGTGGAAGAATGGCAGCAAATCGTGTGACACGAGCGCCGGTATAACACTCATCCCTACCGATGAAGATGTGAAGTCCTCTAAGAGTAGGTCTTCTAAAAGTAGTGGTGATTCTCATCAGTCAAGACTACTTCTGTCCAAAGCTTCTGAAAGATATCTGACAAACAGATCTCAAGACTCGAGTAATTATGATCTCATTTTAGATGACATCTAATCATTATATGTATTGTCCATAAGGTTCAGACAATTCGCACCAAACATATCGAGTAAAATCAAAAACGAGCCGAAAGTCAACCGAAGACATACCGAAAGGACAGAAACCATCCAAACCTCCGAGAACTTCAGTGTTGACTAAGGAATCAGCCATTGATGTGAAGACATACCATGAATTGGGCGATAACTCACCGAAACTATTGGATGGTATAATAAATGATGAATTGTTTTGAATGATTAGTAAATGTCTCGATGTGTCAGACTTTAGTATCGAGATGTTGATGACCAGTGATAGCTCTTCCGGATCAGTTAAGACAGTGATTGAATCCAAGAAATTGTTGAATACGAGTCGTAAAAGCAGTGAATGTGACACTTCTCTTATGGTCAATGAATCCAATGTAAGCAATGATTTGGAGATAATTTGAAGTGATTGTCATTAGAAGTGATTTGTTTGCTATTGAGACCAATGATTGAGAAATAGTTACTAAAATGAAAACTTTGGTCAAACAGGTGTCGATGCGACCAATGGGTCCATTCGATGACAATATGACACCCAATCAGACCATTAAATACAGCGACAAAAAGGATGTAAAGAGGAGTTTAAGTAAAAGAATTGGTGCCAAAAGTGAAGCAGTCTTTCCCCGTTTCCAAAGTGATCCCAATTCAACTCATATGACATTCACTGAAGTGATTGATTTGGCATTTGATGATCTCATCAAAACCATCGATGATTTCAGTGATTAATATATTGATTATAAAGATATTTGTGATATTTGCCAGAAATTGACGATCATTTTCAGTGAATTAAGACTTTTAATTATTTAGATATTGACTAAAAAGTTAACATTTGTCTACTACTTCGTTAACATTTACCGTATTATATTTTAATTGTTTGACGTTTATTCAAATCAATGATTAGTTTCAATAAATCTAATGTAATATAGCAATAAAGTTATATAAAAATAAATTTGAAATTATTATTCTCTAGAATTGTGTGATTTGTTTGTGACATTAATTGTGATCTAAATTATGTTTTATTCAACCCTACTATAGGGTTAGTAATAAGTTTTATTTGTCTCGTATTTATTATCAATTTTCCGCTCTATNACCCTACTATAGGGTTAGTAATAAGTTTTATTTGTCTCGTATTTATTATCAATTTTCCGCTCTATTTATGCGTTCAATCAGTTTAGTCCCAAATAACTTATTTTCAATTTCCACTTTTCATTACTAATAAACGTCTCACACATCCATCCAATCAATAAATTATATTTTTATCTCTAATACCACTGTATTATAGACTACAGAATATTTTTAATCAGTTTCTGTATCAATATCTCTAGAAATCCTTTAATATTATAAATTTTTATTATACAGTATTGAAATTTAAGGCAATAAATCATTTTTAAATTATAAGGAATTCACTATTTATTATAATTTGTGCGAAATAACAAGAAATTACAAAATATAAATTTAATGTTTCAATAAGTTAAGTCCGTTTTCAAAATAAAAATATTGATTTAAATTTCATTTCAAATTTAAACCACAAATGTTGGTCAAAACCTCATTGCCGTCAAAAATAGTAATAAGTATTTTGATTAGATTTTTGGAGTTCACCATTATTTTTAAGTCTCTGTGATATTGAGATACTATTTTTGTGTCCAAAACGATATACAGTATAAAAATGGATTTAAGTTTTTAATACTAGATGTGAAAGTTTTATTTTTTCCATTATT